ATGTAGTGGATGAGATTGAGTACGTGGCGCATTCTGGGGTAAGTTTTGAGGCCCTTCTCTGTGTGTAGCGGTTAGCCCGCATAAGCGGGATTATATACACATCACATGCGAGCAACTACTTTTTGAGATGAAAATCGAGTGCATGGCGCAATCCTATATGGAGCTTTTCCAAAGTATCAAAGCACATTCTTATAGTGTCCGACGAGCTGAATTCAAAGATATCTTCGGATTCTCGAAAGCTCAATTTTGAACCGAGTTATAACGAATTCACGAAATTAACGAGGATTCGCGTTATTCGCGTGAATTTTCGATTTCAAACGGCGAGTACTGTATGTATCTTTGGGTGACACGGCTACGATGAATGACAAGCGTGAGTTGTTTTTGAACATTCTTCATCATTCCATCAATCTATTTGTTCGAGTGATGAAGCGTCCAGGCATGGACATTCACCACAACATTTGGAACTAGGATGGAAAAGAGATTTTCATGGAGATAAGCTCGCGCTAGTGATAGTGCGACTCTCTGGAAAGCATATAGGAAATTAAGTATATATTCGAGAAGTGCTTGTGAAAATTCCGTTCTCAATTTGAAAAGAACATTATCCTCTCCAAGAATGAGAATTATTTTGACAGGTTTCTCAATACTCGACTTAGAAAGAAAAAAGCACTTCTTCTCGATGCACAAGGTGCTGATATCCAGTGATAAAGAAAAGGCAGAATTGTTAGCTGATGTGTTTCATAAGGCTCACCTAAACAGTGAAGATGTAGCTTCAGAGGTTATTCTTGTATTTCCTGTTATGGAAGACTCTATTTGGTTACATAGCGACGAAGTTTACAAATTCTTAGTTATTTGGCCCACATGTCGCGGATGCGACGGTGGCCCGCTGGGCGCACCGCGCGCCCCGGCCCACTTGCGCTCGGTTGCCAACGCGCTCCAGCGCCATTGGCCCCGCCTCCCTGCGGTCGAGGCCAGTTAGTCGGCGCTACGCGCTCCGTCCTAGCGGCGGTGCTCGTAGGAGCTGGCCACCGGTGGCAGGTCGGTGTTCACCGGGCAACGCGATGAGGCCAGCTAAGGCGAAGGGGCACGTCGCTCCGTAGTCCATGTTGGCGGAGCGCCTGTCATCCCAAAGCCGGTCGTGTCCTTCCCCTGCTCCCCGTCTGGGAGCAGCCCTTACAACATCCCAGATAGGACACGTCGGCCGCATGGAGCCCCCAGAAGAAGCCGAGCCAACGTGGGGGTCTAATACGTCGAGTCAGCTGGTGGGGCTCACCTCTGAGAGAGGTGACCCCGGGGAGTTCGAGGAGTATGGTGAGTTATTACGTCACAAAATTGATTGTAAACCTACGAGTTGTGGGATTCCAAAACTGCGGGCTCAAGTTACAAAATGGTCAAAAGTTGAATAACTTGCCCTACAAGTATCCCCTCCAAGGCAATCTCCCCACACCGCGGGGTACAACGCTCAAGACCATTCTCTCACGTCGGGCTAGACTACTTTGGCCCTCTGGCGATAGTACATCCGGATGGTAGTGAAGGGAAGAGCTACGGTTGCATCATAACATGCATGGCTACAAGGCTCATTCACCTGGATGCAGTTACAGACCAATCAACCACCGCTTTTCTCAGAATGTTGCGTCGATTTTTCGGACGACGAGGAACACCAAAGTCAATTACAAGTGATAACTCCCCAACCTTCATCTTGGGAGAAAATATTCTATCAGAGTGCCTACAAGCTGCACAAAACGACCCAGAAGTTGGGCAGATGGTTGCTAATAAAGAAATTGAGTGGCGATATATAACACCCTTCGCACCATGGCAAGGCGGTTTTTACGAACGTTTGATTAAATCAGTCAAACATTCGCTGTACAAGTCAGTTGGGAAAGCCAAACTATCCCACGACGAATTGACCACAGTGCTTGTGGAAATCGAAGGTCTACTCAACACCAGACCGCTGCTCTACGAAGAATCGGATTCGGTCGGAGAACGAGGCTTGCGCCCCATAGATTTTCTTCAGAACGAATTCGACATACCATTTCCGTTAGACCTCATCGACGAAGAAACCGATGATCCTTCCTATCTATGCGGTGAAGAGAGAGCAATCATAAGAACGAAAATGCAAGCAATTGAAGCTCTGAAAAGCTCTTGTAAGCACACAGACAAGTTCTGGCAAACCTGGCGCACTCATTACTTGACGTCCTTACGAGAGCAACATCAGCTAGAAGTAGGAAGCCAGAAAGGATCACGTTATAGCCCAAAAAAGGATGCGATCGTTTTAATAAGTGACCCAGTTCAACCACGGCATTGTTGGAAAATAGGCCGAATCCAGGAACTGGACACTCACAATGGAGTGACCCGAGAAGCGTCGGTTGTGCTACCCTCCCATCGAGTAATTCGGAGGCCCGTCAATCAGTTAGTCCCGCTAGAACTAGATGACATTCGTTCAGATGACAAAGAGGAAGCTTCCGCAAATACTCAAGACCAAGCTAGCTCAGAATCCGTACGCGATGAAGAGGAGGAACCGCAACAGCGATATAACTTGAGACCGAGGAAACAAATAAACTATGGTAATAACCCAATTCAACTGGCACGCCAAGTTCCTCTAGTCTCTCTTATCCTGGCAATTCTCGGCTTTGTGGGATTACAAGTTCCACAAGTACAGAACAGCCTCACTCTATACGCTGTATACCAGGTGGAGTGGAATTAAGGACCAACGCAACCGTGCCCTATCAAATCTGTGCGGAGCACTTCTGTAAAACCTATGATCGACCAAATCAGACCGAGATCGTGAAATTTCCACCGCAGGTAATTCTTCACGAACACGAGGTACAATGGAAGTTCGCCAAGGATCCGATCGGAGTTGTGGAAACAAGTTGCCCCGCCGCACCATTCTGTGATCATCTGGACTGTAGCTTTTGCTCAGCAGTCATCTTCAATCCAGAATGTTGGCCCGTAGGTGCGATCTTGGCAGCTGCACTTATGATTTACTTCGTCATCACAGGGTGCTATGTTTTCCTTTATGTTCCACTTGTAGTCGGAAGTCCGGTACGCATATTGGCAGGTGTTGCACTTCGTGGTATCTGTCATATCGTTGGTGTTGTCCTTCGACGACTCGGCAACATTGGACAACGAAGACGTCGAAGAAAACCGGCTGATCTAGTAGAACTTTTAGCCGTGGCGTCACTGATAGTTTGTCAATACAAATGCGGAGAAAGTTGTCAACAAGTCGACTTATTTTCGCACACCTCCACAGTCTGCGAAAATACTCTCAACGGTAACACAGCAAGCCACTCTATGTCGCTGAAACTTTAACCCTTTCAAGAAGCAAGCGTGAGATCTTTCGCTGCAACCGGTGGAGAGAAACAGCTAAGGTCAAATTCACACATACGGACATACGCCAGAAGAAAACACAGTCCTACACAGCTTTCATGATACCGTATGTACCAATTAAGTGGAATTCGTTCACGCTAACTTTGTCCTTAGTGAAATCTGCTCCAACTCCTTTGCTGAACACTCCGTTTATTACCGACGGCAATTCCACCGCTATATGGAATCCGCAATTAACACCACTGTTGGAATGCCAAAATAGGTCTCAAGCCCAAACGTTTGACTGCAACATAGCAAACAAGTGCGTGTGCTACCCAGCCGAAACGCAAGCAAACTGCAATTGTGAAAATCTTAACATTTCGGCGTGGATTCATGACTTACGGCATCGACTTCCTTTGGTGTTCCCCTCGGTGATCTTCAAAAGGGACAGAGAAGGACAAGTTCATGCAACAATTCCTAGTATGACGACAGCAGAAATAATAATGACGATGCAAGGCAATCTGGAAACCGACATTTTGGTTGATGAAGCCACATGTTCGATTTCAAACGTTCTACTAACAGGTTGCTACAAATGTGCAAAAGGAGCAAGGGCGGACGTGACGTGCACATCCTCAAAACCTACTCAAGCAGAGATAATATGCGAAACCATCAGTTTCACAGTGGAATGCAACCAAGAAGGAAAGACTTCGTCATTACGCTTTAGCTTCGACACCGCAAGAATTCATCAGAAATGCAGAGCATCATGTGGGCAATCCGTGACCATTTTTGAAATCGGTGGACTATTAAAGTACCCTCACACGGCTTCCAATATGGTTGATAGATGGTTGAGAGGGGAAACAAGTAGCGAACCTGTTGGATTTCATTGGCCCGATTTTCCACATATCCTTGATGTATTCCTCATGTGGTATAAGACTCTGTTATCAGCAGTCTTGGCGCTATTGGTATGTCGTGAATATCCGCATATGGAATACGAGTCACGAAATGGATCCTGAAAACTGTTTTCCGCATCTTGACTTTACCGGTGCTATTGTTTTTTCATGGGGCCTCACATCTTCTGCACCAACAAGTTCGGAAAAGGCATGAGAAAAGATGGTGAAAAACAAGTAGCACATGTTAGATTAGATAGAAAAGGCGCTTGTAGCTTATGGTTAGTCATAGATTCAAAAAACCTTCATTTCAGAATGGACCCACGAAGTATGGACAGCGATTTCTTCTACATTTACAAGTATCTCCAAGGACAGTCAGTCAGTGGCTTCGAAAACGACCTAACCTTGACGATAGAAGCTATTCATCGACAAGTTTTTGTCTTTGGAACTCTGAGAAACGACTGGGAGCACCTGAAGAGCAACGAAAATTTCGTTTTGGGGGGACCAGGAGAACAAGTCCTCCTAATCATCGAGCTGCTTCGAACGGCGGGCGGTCGCATAGCAGTGGAGCAGATGCAAGAGGCTATCGACTTTTTGTTCTCACGGACCGATTATTCGAAGCACTAGTTCAGAATGGAAAGGTCAATCCCAGTCTTCGGCGAGATTGGTTACGCAAGAAGCACAAGTTCGACGTGGAAGCGGACAAAGTGCTCGAGTTTGTGGTCAGAAAAACGAGCGACTTCGAAAAAATCGTCGACGAGCTCTGCAAAGAGAAGAGAAAAGCTGAAAGGAGGCTGAACGATTCGGATCAAGAGCGTCGTCCGGAGTTGCAGAAAAAACAGCTCCTTCATATTCTCCGGGAAGAAATGGCTCTGGAGGCCCAATCAACTACGGAGCAGATCAGAGGTCTGAAAGAAAGGGTAAAATCACAGGAGGCTGAAATAGCTCGTCTCAAAGGAATCATCCAGACGAAGGAGCAGCAAGAGACGGAAAAACCTGGTCCAAGTCGTGTGCAAGTGACAGTTGATGCCTCAGATGGAGCAAAAGGAGGCGCTGCATTGGAACAAGTGCCCATTGAGATGGAAACTGATGAAGATTACTTCGAGAAAATGGTTCAAGAAGTACAAGAGGACGAAGAGATGACGGATACGGAACAAGAAGAAGAAGAACGTGAAGACTCTTCGGGGCGAATTATTCAACTCTGCCAACAAGCCCTCGAGTTGGAACAAGTACTTCAGACGTTTCCCTATAGAGACTTTGGAGATAGGAAAGTCAGCAACACCTGTACCTTTTGCGGCGCTGTAGACCGTCACTTCTCAGATTCTTGCCCGCAGGTACAAGATGGACACGATCGAAACACAATCGTCGATAGAAAGAAGGTGTGCAAGTGCTGCTTCGGCAACTGCCCACAAGACAAGTGCAGATTCCCCCGAAGAGACTGCTACTACTGCGAGAGGATTAGAGGGACGATCGTCGAGGATTTGATTGCTTAATTGCTCCAATATCGATTCGCTCGTCGTGGGAAAGTCCGATGGATGGCTCTTTCATGACGTATCGATTGGAAAATGGAATAGAAACGAGGGATCGACGGAATAGGGACCGAAAAACACGGAACCAACGGAGTAGGGATCGAAAATCGGATCCGACGGAATATAGAACGGATTAAGCTTGAGAGACGAGGATTTTACTCGTCTTCTCGAGGGGAACGGAATAAAGGTAGAAAAACTTCAAAAACGAAATAAATTACGCGAAACAAGCTGGAACTGGGAGGAGTGGGCAGTGGTGAGTATAATACGTGATATCTAACCTAAGGGTGGGAAAAAGGGACTAAACTACAACTACAAGGAATTGAACCCCTACGTACTAATTGTGGGGAGACCCTAGTTACCTGGAAAGGCCGGAGGGCTGAGTACAAGCCGATGGTTTACCTTTTAAAGGGCGCTGAGGGCACTGATCCAGGTAGGCCTTTTGTTAGTCCACAGGAGGTCTTTCGAGCCTCTCTTCTGGGGCAGCCTACTCACGGCCGGCCATGATGTAGACCCTGCGCTGCTCGCGCCACGCGCCGCTTGAACCTTCCACTCTACGACTTTTTGAAGGCGCCCGGCTTCAAACCGCGGCTGACGACGACCCTCGCCCGCATACTCTCCATCCCCACTGGACATCTCGAGAGCTGGTCCACCTACTTCCCGCACGGAAGCTGCACCGGTGCGACCGCGGCGAGCTACTCTAGAGGCCTCCTGGAGACTAACTCCGGGCTTCCCCGAGCATCCTGGTCCCAGGGAAGGGATCTTGCCGGCAATGGGCTCCGAGCTGGCAGGTTGCCACAGTCCTGCCGGACCAGTAAACCCCATCCCTTCCCCGCCAGTTCGCATCCCGGGTTAGGATCGATGCACCCACCGTCCAAAGTACGCCAAAAGATGGGGGAAGGCGCCTCCAGTAGTCGAATGCCCTGCCAAGTCCCCCTGTGGGACCACCGGCTCCGGCATGGCTGATGGGTCGGGTGCGGACAGTGGTAGCTGGCCGTCCCCTACCCGGTCCCTGGTCTCGAATTTGGAACCGAGCGGGTCCGTTTCGACGGTCCGATGCACCATGTCGCGAACGGTGTGTATGCTCCCCGACACTCGACCTCCCGCCGAGCTGCCCATCAGCCCACCACGCTGCCTCCTGAGCGCCCACCAGGAGGAGCGGACCCAACTTCCCCCCGGGGACACAGGGGGCGCCCGTCGGCAGCTCAACCTACTCACTAGTGGCCGACGGGCTGAACCTAGGTAAACAGCCCTACTAAACCCGAGTGACACACAACAGACCGATATAATTAGGGTAAGCCCACATATAATACATAGAAAACACAATTATATTTACTAACATTTATTATGACGT